CCACTCAGTCCTCGCAGCGCTCGTTGACATCCACTCAAAACAGTGAAGTGATGGCCAGAATTGACCACAAATTGTCTCTTTTTCGGACAGTTTTGACTGAAATTAAGAGCGGAACTCATGATTGGCGTAAACATATGGAGACTCTGTTGAGTGAGTTCTTCGGCAAACAATTGGACCGCAAGTTGAAGACAATCGAAGACGAGTTGAAGACCACGAAAGCCGAGAACCAATCGCTCAAAGAAGAGCTCTTCGTATTGAAGACCACGTGTGAGACACAGAAGGAGTCCAGTGATCATCACATGCGAGACATCAATGGTCTGAGAGAACTGGTGTCCGAGTGTCTGACACAACACCAACAGAGTATTGGATCAGTCATTGACTCAAAGATTCACCATTCAAACGATCATTTGAATGAATGTCTGAAACGAATCGCTAATAATTTGGATATAATTGAGAAAAATATCAAATTTAATGAAATGGATATCTATTTCATGGAAGATATTGATTGGTTTGATAGCATTCAGTAGGTTTGCGATCGTTTTCAGTGTATAATTAGTTTTATGACTTTATTTTATTGTAAACTTTGTTTTTATATCTCATAGAAATATAATTTTAGATTATTTTTATTAATATAAGGATTTTTGTTAATTTTTCTAAAAATTAATTTTTTTATTCAATTGAATAATTTGTTTTCAATAGTATTTAGTCGTCAGTTATCTAGAATTATAATTGTTTACTATAAACACCGTATAATATGAATACCTTATAATTGCAAATGTTGATTAACCTTTTGTGTAATATTTATGAAATAAATTGCTTTTAATTAGAAATTAGTTAATAAGTGAATTATGAAATAATTAATGAATCCCTGCACTAACTAGTAATTATCCAACGAGTCATGCAGTCTGTCGTTAAAATGAATGCATTCAAACGTCAAACACCTAATTATGAAGCATTTTTGAAGGTATTGCTGTAAATGTACTGTTTATGATCATATTATACAGTACTGTATATGAGATAATGTTTCTCAAGGAAAGGTGACTTAAGTGATGAAACTGTGTTTTCAAAATCACGTTTCCATTGCATGTGCGACACATTGTGCGAACTGACGGATAGATTTCCTTTTCTGTTAAGAGATAATTATTTCGTATTTCAAGAATATTCTGGATTCTCATAATTAATTGCAAACATATTCTTAGGTCTATAGAACATTTAAAGTATGCAAATTTTGTTGAGCACATAATCACGTCTATTGTACGTTAATGAAATGAGTTGTTTAAGCTTTTAAAAACAAATACAACAGTAATTTTTATAAAATCACTTTAATCTAGTAACTGTATACAGTATCTCACAAATCATTTATAGATTGTAGTAGTGTTTAGAGTGTAGGCGCAGAACCCGCCCAACAAATCGATCAATTTATTCTTGACACTAGAATTCGGTTCACAGATATTGGTATATTACTGGACATTATTAACATTTAAACCATTAAAAATTTTAATTTTTCAGTTAAATATGAATTTAAGAGATTATTACTGATTTATAATATTAAATCATAGGTTTATTAACAAGTAAATAATAAATAATTTAATGCTAAAGTATTTGTTGAAACCGAATTCTGGACTATAAACTATATACAGTATAATATATCAAGTATATTTAGAGTAATACAGTTGTCAGGAAGTCCCGATTCACAGTTGAAGTTTACTTCATTGAGTGACACATAAGAATGTGCTTGCTTATTAGTTTTGCTAAACTAAAACATTGCATTTGTTTGTAAAATTCTAGATTTTGATTTAAATGTTATATTAAACTATTAAATAAAACCAAAGAAAATAATAGTAATATAATGGAAAATAGTTTGAATTCGAGCCAAACTTCTACAGATATAACACCACTTCCACTGATCCCAAGCCAAGAGACGGTCGCAAATGATTACATACTTGCGCTGACATTCGGGTGCTGTTGTCTGTCAGCCCTGTTTGCCGTGTTTGGGAATATAATGATCATTTGGATCATAGGTTGGGCCAAAAGTATGCGAACGCCTACTAATCTATTCATCGCCAATCTGGCCATCTCTGACATTATGGTGGGAGCTCTGGTCATACCGTTTCAGTTTCAGACCACACTATTAAAGCGGTGGCTTTTGCCGCACTTCATGTGTTACGTGAGTCCCACAATCCAAGTGATCGCTGTCTCCAATTCTGTCTATACATTGACGGCCATAGCATTGGAAAGGTATAGGGCTGTCATGTATCCACTTCGGGCACACGTCACCAAACTTAACGCTAAGGTAGAGATTCTTGGCATTTGGATATTCTCCATACTCTTATCAATTCCCACTATAATTGCTCTAAAAGTAAGTAAATTTATTTTATTTGCAACGGGTTTTAAAATTTAATTTTTTGCTTATCATGCATGTGTAATATTTTAATTTGGTTATTATCTAACTTGTTACTAGTAATTTCTTGATAATATTTAAATAAATATAAAACAAAAGCATATCAGTAATAATTCATTGCTCATCTATTTTAGGTGCAGTATTTCTCATTACATAAATATTTTAATCTTTACTAGTTTAATTAGTAAAACTCATTAATTTACTGTATTAATACTGACTTGTGAGCATAAGTTTATTTTTTCTTGAATTTTCATTAAATAGAATATAAGTCTTACAAAATGATTCTTACAAACATACAATAATTGAGAATTCATCATAATCATGCATTACGGTAATGTATTTTCAAATAAGCTACTTTAAATAGCTCTTTAATTTTTTAAATTTTAATTTTCATATAAAGTTATTTATACTGTATGAATACAGTATGAAAACATTTCTTAATAATTTTTTATCTAAGTATAAGAAACTTCTTTTAAATGGTTTGAATAATTCCAAACCAGGATTTAAAATAAACTATTTTTATTCAATCATAGTTATATGTACTTACAGTATACAGTAGTTTATTAAAAATTTTAGTTATTACCGTAATCAGATTATAAATATTGTATTGATGTTTAATGTTAATGGAAACAACAATTTTAATGCTTTTATATTATACTGTAATTTAAGTAAATGTTTGATTAAATTTTAATTTAATTAAAAATTTACTGACATGAGTAAATTAAATGTTATCGTAATTAAAATTTATTTTCATTAAATTCCTAATTATTGAAAGATACTGTAATACTTACATTTCATCAATACAGTAGAATAAATCTGAATTACAGTATTAGACACACTAATTTATAAATTGTGCTGAATATTTGTAAAAAATAATGTAAATTAAATTTTTACTTTATTAACAATTAGAAAAATAAGTTAAATAATAATGTTGGTCGAAATTATATTTAGAATATTGTTGAATGAGAATAAAATTAGAAAATTGGATTTGCCTTAAGCCGTCAGCAATTAATTATAAAAATCTAATTAAAGGTTCACTTAATATGGGATGAGTTGACAGAAGAGAAAACAATGCCCTTCTGTCAGAACATAGGCCTCACAACAGCTCTATTCGGCACTTATAAAAGCGCTCTCGTGTTTGTCCACTATTTCATCCCTCTGTGTGTCATATCATATACTTATATACGAATGGCTTTGGCTTTAAGTCGTGAAGAAGAGGCGATCGACTCAACTGTTAGAGTGAATAACATTAACATTAAAAGGAAGAAGAAAAAAGTAAATTTATTACTATTATATTCCGTTCATTGCATTTATACTACATTATTTTCATATCATTATACGGCTTATTAATTATTTGATGACATTTTATATTTTTATAATTAACGCCAAATTATTATTAGCATATAAAATTTAATATTCCTAATTATTTTGGTATATCGAAATGTTTTAAATTATTTGTTTTATGTTTGCACAGAATGTATAACTTGAGGGCATTTTTTAGCTCATAATTAGAATACTAAAATTATACATGTTTAAGAAATCAAAGAATTTAATTAATTAGGAATATAAAGTTCAAATTATTCTGAACAACTTAATGTTATAATATTTTTTATATTGTTTAGAAAATGACCTTTATTTCTAGTTTTATGTGCTTTGAATTTCAAGAACATTTTTCTATTGAGGATATATAAAAGACACGACAAACATATAAATTGAATTCACAGCTAATTATATTTTAAACCGTATATCTCTTAGATATAATTTAAGGGCTAATGAAACAGTGATATAATACCTAGAGATTTAATTTATATACATTTTCAAATATGAATAAATTGTTATATAAATACCTTGTTATTTTAATGATTGCCACGTTGTTCTTAGAATCGCTTCACATGTATATCTCGATATGAAGACCCAGAATATGAGATGAGTCTCTGAAAAATTGCTTTTATTTCTTAT